GGATTTAATTGCTCTCCAATACTTTTCTCGTCCATCCAAATAATTGCGTCCCATTCTTCTTATGGTCTATTTACATTTTCTTGCGCGAAAGCGACTCTTCTTCGTCGATGTTCTTCAGTTAGTGCAATTTTTCTCGCCGCTGGCCTCGACACAATATTTTCTGCTTTTAAGCGACGTATAACTGAATATTTTGAAATATTTATTCCTGCTTCCTATATAATCGTCGTAATTGAAGAAAATGGATTTTTTATCACCGCTTCAATAATTTATCTTCATCTTCTGTAGTTTTTCTATGATCTTGAAGCGCATCCATTCCTCCTAAATGAAATTTTCGTATCCAGCGGGAAACAGTTTGACGTTTGCATCTCACTATCTTAGCTATCTCTATTTGGTTTCGACCACCTTGATGCAATGCAACTATCCGTGCTCTATCCATTTCACTTAAATTTTACTGCGGATGCCGATGCATTTTTCTGTCAACTGATATTTTTATCAATATTGACAGCTTTTTCGATATATTGCTATGACAAACAAAAGTTCTGTTCACAGTTTGACTATAAATTAGATTCTTTAATGTTAATAATTAATGTTTAAATATATTTAAATAAAAAATATATATAATGCATACTTTCACAATTTGAAATTAGCTTATATATTATTAAGAAAAGATGGAAACAGCAAGCAGGATATGAAAATATTTATTATTCGCAATTAATAACGTATTAACATACGTCTATTAAAAACATTAAACATTATTAAAAGCAGAGACCCTTTGTGTCTGTATGTGTATAAATTTATTATAATTTTGTATATTAGCTTCTTACTTACCTTTTTTAACATTCTTACTCTTCTTCTTCATTAACATTCTTCTTTAACATTCTTCTCTCTTCTTTCTGATTACGCGTTACACGTGAACGGATAATCTTCTGATAAAAACACGTATGTATGAAACATCAAGCTGTCAAAATGTCACTTCTATTTTGACACATTCCCACTTGTCGGATGAATCAACAATCATGAAAAACGATCAGCTAGAAACGGACACGGTTGGCCAAAACTTTCTAGTGACTATCGATCTGGGGAATAGTATACACGGGAAAAAGAAAAATGCACATAACCATAGATATTTAATTATGAGCAATGCAGTTGTATCATTCTTGTTATCTGGTGATGATATGGGATTGATATGATTCAGTGACTTTGACGCATCAACTATGTCAATAGCTCTGCGTGATCTTGTTGTTGCAACCAGAAATCGGTTGGAATAACATTTATCAGGGATATCCTCTGGTGGGAGCAACCAGATCTCGTCATTGCTGCAGCGTCAGCCAACTCAGCGATTGTTGTGGTTACAGCAACCACATGATCAGCTGTTGCGTATTTTACTATTGGATCACAAATTTATATATTATAACAATATTGTTTTTCCCGTGTACATATCGCATGGGAGAGATTTCATTCTCTTCCAGGTGACACGTCAATCCCAAGTCTACTCGCTGATTCCGACTTCGAATTGTCCGTATAACAATGCGTGCAGCATGAGGATTGGAGAAAACCGAAACCTCGTCTTAATTGACGGTTTACGTGATCGAAAACAAAGTCAGTACCAGCTTCCTCGGTGGCCTTTGACATTCTTCAGTTCATCTGGCACGATCGCGCATTATTATCATCCGCACGGCAACGTAATTGCTACCGGCGTCGCAATTGCAACGATTATTCGTAATGTGATATTTATCGGCGCTCGTGTTACGGATATCGTAATAACGGACGATAAACTCAAGCCCGTGTTGGATTCATCCGCATCCGACGATACATATCCATTACGGGCAGCATGTGATCGCGCCGTATCTATCTACAAAAAAAGAAAATGTCATTCATCGCGTCTCAATTATTTCGACAAGAACTGTGTTGCTGGGATCAATTTCATCAGAAAACTTCTTATACACATGAATTAAATTTACAATAGCTACTTAGATACAGGTGTCCAAAGTTTAGAATCAGATTACAATTTTACTGAAGTTTTCATTTTGTTTTATTAATTTTTTTAATTGAACAAAAATGAAAATCGCACAAACTGTTCAAACTGATGTCCTTCGGCTATGATATATTGCGCACTGTGATTTAAAGTAGACAGAATAGTTACACGAAGAAACTTGTGATTATTTTTTGTCTACCGACATGCATCATTAATATCTTATATTAATGCAGGTCCAATATCTACTGGCTTTCTATGTAAACCAAGTTTTTTTTAAATGAAATCGTAACTCAGTTCTTAGATTTGAAAGCCTGTATCTAGTATCGTGAATGTTATTTATATTTATAAGAATTTTTTTACTCCAATTGATCTCAGGAACTTTCTTAGTACGTACAATTCTTCATTGGATACTCGGCACATTTATACAAATTGAACGGCTGTTTGCAGACGTTGCATTTTGCACGGGGTTGCCTATCATCGATCAACCGTTTATACCGGCGTTGCACTTGTAAATGTGCAACGGCTACCGTGTAAAATCACGATCGATCCTCCGAGACGGGAGCGCAAGTTTTGCAGTTCAAGGCGACACGTCCTTCTTCCGCCGTTGCGGAGGAATCGTCGCACCTGGTGCCACGATTCACACGTAGGGCGAGAGACCGCCGTCGGTCGTGTCGGTTTTCGAGGAGAGCTGTCTCGCGAGTTCGCGATCGCACGCGGCTCTGCCGCCTATCTCGCGACAGATCACGTATGACGTAACGTAACGTGATTTCGCTCCACAAAGCCGTTCTCGAGGGATGAGCAAGCGGGTTGGCGCGACGTTTCCTGCAGCGATGAACTTCACCGGTTAATTGCCACCCGTATAAATCAATTGTCCATATTCGGCTCGCCGCAGCCGCTGCTGTTCGCTTGCGCGCTCTAACTTTCCGCAACTCTCGTTCGTATTAATCCTTTAAGCTCTTGACGCGCTCTAGGACTCAAAACGATACCTCTACTTTCGCATGTGGGTCTTCAATTTGAGCGAAATTTTCATGATACAATAGAATTTTCGCATAAAGGATCGTCGTGTAAAATTACCTAATAAATAAGGAATATTAAATCAACAATATTAAATCAACAATATTGATTTTGTGTGTATCTCTTCAACACATACACATTTTCGCTTGATATCTTAAAATATTTCAATAATATTACCGCGGATAACATGATTTTTTCTAAGTATTAAACAAAAAACAAGTGTTAAAAAGTGTTCAAAATTAAAAATCGAAGTAAAATAAAATACCTCCTTCTTATAGACCCTATTTTATTTGGATCTTTGAATATTGTGGAAATTTTTTAAAAATATTAAAATGCTGAAATTACTCGTAATGATATTGATACAACGTGAGAAACTACACATTAGAAAACGTTATATGCTATTGATTATCGTTGCAATAACGTTCTATCAATAATTTTTTGTTCACTGGGTAGAATTCTCAAGCCATCGCATAATTTCTCTTCGAAACTGACATCTCTCGAGTCACATGTCGCGTTGTGTACTTCAAGAGATGTTAATTTCATTTAGATCGTGAAAGCTGTCCAATGAGTATTAATTTCTTTGATGGCATCATCTGTGAGTCTGGCAGTAAAGACGTTTGGTGGAATTAAATTATCTAATTTCTATATCTCGAGGGAGATTTCTGTAGACTCCAATACACGCATAACAGAAGTAAGATATCTCGCGCGCGCGATTGGTGGTTTCTTTTCTGCGTCGAGTAGTTTTCCACCATACTTAGCACGGTAAACGTATCATGCGCGCATTCGGCAGTCAGGTTTATTTTCGGTTTATTACGACTAAATTGGCACTATTAGCGATTCTGTATCCGAACATATAGCGAGAAGTCGTAATCCTCGTCCCTGGAGCACTGGAGCTCTCGACGTTGAAATTTATCGCCGGTTCCGCGCTCCATCCTCGTGCTGAAGATGATCGTATAAATTTCTGATAAACCGCTACTAGTCGAGTGGGAATTTGTCGTGGTGAAATTTATGGGCCCCCTGGGACAGAAGTCGGATTGCGTTCCTTTTTATTTATTTGAATATCTCGAAAAATTGAATAATTCAATGTTAGAACTGTAGATTACAGATGAACAGAACCGTATACACGGAATCGATCGTGAGTTGTCTCAAATTTGCAGTGTACGGCGTTTATTTTCTCAGTACTTACGCGTGAATCTTTACTCCTGAGTTACAGGACGATTTCGTTAGGATATTCGAGGAACACCGATTCCTCGCTTCACTCTGATTTAAGATACGTTATATATATCGAAGTTTTACTCAATACATTTCTACTAGCCTGCTATAGTAATAAATACTAAGAATGAATTTCCACTGCGACAAAACGCGAGTAAACTTTTCTGTTTCAAAATCTACGATAGAAACGCGATAGTTCAAATATGTATAGTTTGATTAATCCGCTAAATCTTAAATATATTAATAGCCGTTATTTAAAGTTTGTCTCACATAAGATACTTAGATTTGAATTTAGAGTTGATATGAGTTTTTCAATTGAAGTACATGATATACATGATATTGTATCAATAATTTCAATTCAACCGAAAAAATTCACATCTAACTCTAAATTCAAATTTGAATATCTCGCTTGAGGCAAGTATCAAGTAACGTCTATTAAGGCTCCTGACCTCTCGTTGCGATTATCTTGATTTATAACGCCATAAACAAGGAAATACCAAAATTCCTGCAAAGTACGTCGAAATAAAGAATTTCGGGCATGCATTTCCTCGCATCTGACGTCATCCATTAAGAGTTCCGCAGCGAAGGACCAGGAGTTTTAATACGAGCTACTTTTCGCCAAAACAATAAATTCCAATTTGTTGTTTAATCACGAGATTATTGCAACGCAGTCTTATTGTTCTCCTAAAAATCTTGATTGAAAAAATAAACAAGCAAGCAGAAAAACGAACAAATATGATACAGTCCCTGACGAGGGTCCTGCCGAATACACGTATAATTGCACATTTACTGTACTCACTGCAGCAGTTGCGGCGGCTTGAAGCTGATATCGAGCCGGTAGGTCGTCTCGCAGCTCAGCTTCACCGTCTTCAGCTGTCGGAACCTGGCGGAGGTCTCCATTTTACAATACACCGGCCCAGCGCCTGGTTCCCTCCTGAGGGACAAGGTCACGCGAAAATGTCCATCGGCCCCCATTTATCCGCCGCTTAACCCCATAATCCACCAGAGAGTCTGCTGATGAGAGAATGCACTCGCGTGCCGCGAGCGTACACGCGGTACCACCACCAGGGTGTCACGGCGTCTTCCCCGACGCACCGGCGAATAAGTACTATCACGGCGAGCAAGCGAGAAGACAAGACGGTGGTGCAACCTGCCTGCGCCGCGGACGTCGCGACGCTTACTGATCCGCCAGGCGCTTTGCAACTCCGTATGTTCGCGCCGACTGGCACCTTTTTCTTATACGGGCACTTTCCTCCCTTTTCCCGCGACCAACGGCCGATGTAGCTCTTCCTCGTAGCAGAGGAAGGCGAGTTCCTCGTAGCAGTATGATGAGGATAATAATAATGACGATGGAGGTCTGTTGAAAAGGATATATACGATATTCGTGCATATATATTTGCACGATAATATTAGTACAGTAGAATTTAGACGATTTATGTTCAAGCAACATGGAGCTAGATCAGTAGACTGAGATTCACGAGAAAGATAAATTTGCATTTAATGTGAAAATGTTTTCTTTGAAAACAAATCTAAGTCGGTACGAAGATATTCGTAAGGAAGACAAATTCAACTTTGCGTTACAAAATTTATATGAATGTTCTTGAAGTAACGTTTAGTTAATTCAATTTTCTCTTAAAGTAAGTAAAGAAAAATAATGTCAAGCATATGAATGAAAAATTTAACTTGCCTTTTCTGTAATATCTGTTACTTTTTAGTTTTAATGGAACGTGTGACATCGTCGATTATATAGCTTATGTCGAAGACTGTACTATGTACGAGCTATGTACGAAAGTGCTTCTAATAGTTACTGCTTACGTGGTGCACAGTCGGATAGGATAGGAGGAGACTTACGGCTTTCTAGATCTAGAACAAGGAGAATTATCAGGTTTGGTTAATATAAGACCATAGATGATGGAAATTGACCGTAAATGGTCAATTGGTATGAAACTGAATTGGGACGACTAATGAAGATAATAAAATATAGAGTGCGGAGAAAAAGAGAGAGAGAGAGAGAAAGAGAGAGAATGTAACGAAATAAATTTATCCAGACAAAAAGATCGATTATTACTATTATTATTTGATATTACGTAAAAATGCGATGTATTAATTGAGCCTTTTATTATTCTGTGCATCTACATTACAAAATATATATCTATGCGATTGAGAATTCATGTTATAATCAAAACCGATTATCTGCAAGATCACATTTACCTAGCATGTCGAGGTGAATGAGGTTGAAATGGATTTTCCAGAGATACCGTTAATATTAACGATACTGATCGTGAAAATGCTCTCGCTATAATAGGATCGTCTCGAAGCTGACGCTTCGTGCAGGGAATCTTAAGATATGCGACGCGACTATTACTTTCTGGTTTGAAAAAGCAACTAGAGCTTTAATTGAGGTAAATGTTTCACCTGACGGCCTTGACCGGCCGACTTAACTAGAAAGATCGATTTGCCGCGCAACTAAGAAAAACGGTTTATGATCCGACCTCCATCGGTAATAACGTACAAGAAGTGAAGGAAATATTGTTCTCACGTATTAAAATGGTCCCACATATTCTTTCTACGTTTCTTCTCGTAATTACGTAAAGCTCGGCATACATACGCGCATGTATGTGCCGTGAAAGTTCGTTTGCCGTGTAAGGGCTAGATGCATTGTAATAAGTACACGTTTAACTGTGCCAAACCTATTATAAATCACCGTCTCTTTCGCGTGATACTCGATATCGCGCGATTGAAATAACGAACAGGCATGACCTGGTGAGATATATTTACATGTAATTTCAGATAAATCGCATGGCGATGATGATTTTCCCGCGCACGAAGAGCCATGTACAATAGTAATCGCAAGATCGATACTTACATATTCGAAAAAAAATAGTCTCCGAACTGCCCTTTACTCTATCTACATCTCGAGTTTGCGTAGGGACGCAAGATCGTGCCACGTGCAGGTACGTCTTTGATTTTTCAATTAGGATTAAGATAAGAAAATAGTTCCTATTTCTATCACTCTGCTTTACACTTCAAGCTTTCCTATATCCTTCCAGTTATATGCAACATCTTTGATTAAGTGTCTCCGCATAGTCCGCATAGTCCGCTTCTCGTGGTCAGCCTCATGCTCGGAACACACACTCAACGCCTGACCGACTTTGATGGACTGGCCAACTTGCAGACAGAACTGAAAGTCCTGCGGTGCCTCGAACAGGAGCACGATCGTAGAACCAAGCCTGAACTCGCCGAACAGTTCACCTTTAGCTATGCGCGTTCTGGTGAAACATATGTCCTTTGAATACGCGGCGTTCGACCATCGCGCCTTGTTGGTCGCTAACTCTTGATCGCAGTAGACTCTTATCGAGCCCACATTCGTTGCCCCGATCGCCGCATACGCCATAAAACCGCCCGCCCATTCTCCGATATACACGACTCGCTCATTCAAGGAGAATAGATTTGGCATGTATTTGAGCACCGTTGGATTAACGCTCAATAATTTTCCTGGAAAAAAAACAATTAGCGTGAGAATTTGTTGGAGAAACCTCAACATTTTATCAAATAAATCTCAATAACTATCATCAAAACAGAATTTATTTAACCGCCCTAGTAGTATTACTGCAGTAATAGTTAAGAGTTAAAAAACGTGTACCTGGAAAATGCCGTCGAAATTTAACATTCCAATCAGTTGGGCTGTGAAATCGGTGGTAATCACCAGGTGCCAAGTAAATAATTAACTGATAAAGCCTGTTGTCTGGATTCTTTAATAGTGCATTAACATAATCGTCTTTTTGCTCAATCCTTTTTTCAATTTGATTCACTGGGAGATCGTTTGGATCACCCAAAAAATATTTAAGATCATAAGTCACTCCTTTGACTTGTTCCACGCGGCAAGAGGTTACTGGCCCAAAGTAAAGAACTTCACCATCTGCAGGTGAAGTCTAAAAAAGATATTCATTGATTGTATTGTTTTTGTTTATCTAAAATTTAATTGGGATATAACGATTATAAGTGGTTACCATATTCGTATTTTGAGCAATCGGTCTGGCATTGCTCTTAAGTGACCTCACAAAAAATTCAACTAGACTCGGGAAGGTTGATAAGTCCAATTCTACCTCATCCTGATTAACACCAAACATTTTACCAAAATACCCATATATTGCTGGCCTTAAACTGACTGGTAAGTCGATGCTGGTCAGCCAACCTCCTATCCTGCTGGTTACTCTCAGCGGTAAGCAACAATAGCATGTTACCTATATAAAGAGAACTTACTTATTTTACTTAACAACATTCTATAATAAGTATCATATCTTAATTTTACACAGATGCATCATTTACCATAAAATCATTCAACAATTCCAGCTTGTTGTCTACGTCAACAGGATATCCATGTTGATGCAAATATCTCCATTGTGTCACAAGAACTGTTGAGAATCCAATTCCAACTGGTATATATAATCGCCACATTCGAGCAACATTTTTTACAGGCTCCACAGCAACGCTCGACATACATCTTCTGATGGAATTCGTTGAATATCCCTGCCTTATCCTCAGCGTAGAATAGAAATGTTGGTATCCTCTGAAACAAACATCGAGAGGTTATGTTACAGCAGAACACTGCAAAGATCAAAGCGATTGAGTTACACGCGAATGAAAGCAAGAACACACCTAACGAGGAAGCCTAGCTTTCTCATACTGCTGGTTCCTATTGACTAAAGCGAAGAGAGGACACAATTTCGAGCTTGTACATACAATGACGTTTCACGTGAGTTTCATATTGGCACAATTTCAAAATCTTTCAAAACAAAGTGGCGGGGAAATTTCGACGCGCGCTGCGCATCCACCTGTGCGCACGTGCAACGACCGATGTCCGTGGCGTGCACTAGGAGACGGGGGCGCGAGGTAACAGGTGGCTCCGCGTCGCGGCAGGTGAATTGTCGATTCGGACTTTTTTTGTGCGACCGACCACGGGCACGGGCTCGCTCGCCAGTTCCCATTGTTTTCCGCCGCTTCTGTGTGTGTCTCGGCCTGCTCCTCTGCCTCTGCCTCGGCCTCGACCTCGGACTTCGCCAACGACGTATCGCATCACGTAGGTGGGATTGCACCAGCAGGTAGACGGAGTTCGCCCACCCTATGACGACGGTGTTCCTAGAAGAAGCATGACGTGCCGCTTCGTGATGCGACATTGCTCCAGGTCGGCAGTCTGAGAGCAACGACGACGGCCGCCGCGGCGGCGCCGAGTAGCAGAAGCAGGAGCAGGAGGAGGAGAAAGAAGAGAAGGTTATACGTAGGGTCCGCTGTACCCGCGTCCGCATGAAAGGTCGGAGCTGCGGCAAAATCAAGAGCGAGACAATGCCGCCATCCTCGCACACCAACTGGACGAGGCCGCTACTCAAAGGCGGACAAACCATGCAGATGCAGGCGAAACAGCAGTCCACGACAACAACGACGATGACGACGGCGGCGGTGATGGCAACGACAACGACGTCGTCGTCGGCGGCGGCGGCTGCTGCTGCTGCTGCTGCTGCTGCTGGTACTGGCGCCAGTGTCAGTGTAGCTCAGAATCAAAACGACGCAGCGACGCCACTCGACAAACGGATCAAGGTGGTCCTGGTGGGTGACGGCGCCGTCGGCAAGACCAGTTTGGTGGTCTCCTACTCTACTAATGGCTTCCCGGGAGAATATGTGCCAACTGCTTTCGATAATTATAATGGTACATATGGTTTTGGATACAATAATGCAATTGGAGTGTGCTCAGAGTAGCAAATTGTTTATTTTGTTCCTTATCTTGATAAAATCTTTTGTTCACAAGTATCTAGCTGCACTGTTATCTTTTTCTTACTTCTGTATTGCATGATTTTTCATTCTGAGCAAATGAATAGAGTATATTGCTGTTGAATCATTTCATATCAATATTAATAGCTCTGCAACATTCATTTCAGTGGTTGTTAATGTTGATGGTCAGCCACTGAATGTCCAACTGTGCGATACAGCAGGCCAGGATGACTTTGACCCTTTGCGTTCATTGTGCTATCCTGAAACTGATGTGTTTCTAGTTTGCTTCAGTGTTGTATGTCCTTCATCCTATCACAGCGTGGCTTCTAGATGGATTAATGAAGTGCGGAAATACTGCCCAAATGCTCCAATTATCTTGGTAAGATTTGAATTCTACAATTATATTTCACAATCAAAAATTGTATCGCAGTAACATCATATTTCCTGCAAAATTTAATTTATTATAACGTTTTCTTAACAGTATAGTATTCATCATAATCATACAACTAATAACTGATAACAAAATTGTAACATAATTATTGTAATTTATATCTAATATTATTTAATATAAGAAAAATATGATATGATTATTATCACACATAGTTTATCTTACAATATATAAGGTTTAAAAAAAGATATTCTCAAGACTTACAGAATGGATAGTTCTCACTGTTGATAGTTCTGATGTTGAGTAAAAAATATTTAGTAAATATAATAGGTCGAAAAAAACCAACCCTTTCAGAATTACAAATGTTTCTGTTCAGTTTTGATAACACAAGTTATTTGTATGCTTGGTGGGTAAGCGAACAAGTATCTTGCCATATTATTACTTTATTATTATTTTGATGTTTAGAGAGAGATGTGTTCTTTTTCATAAATTTCTAATCTTTGAATCAGAATTTTATTTTTACACAATATTATATATTATCATCTTGCTTTAATATAGTGTAGTCATTTGTCTTCATAATCAGTGATTACACAGTGTCCAAGAGACGCTGTAGCAAGAATTCTCTCAATTATGTCGATTTATTCTAGTTGGAAAATAGCAGACATGCAGTTCATGTCTTATCAATGGAAATATTAGCTGCATGATGTCTCTATATAGGGAGATATCCAAATTGGAAAATTCTGTAATATAAAGATGTCAAGTGTGTATAGAAATGAATAGAGGACATAGAATAGAAAACATTTTTTATTCAGTATACAATGAGTACTATCTACCTTGTAAGTCTTGAATCTTTTTCCTAACATCTTTTTAAAAATTAATGTATCACAATTACAATATGTAATTATGAATTGTATCTCAGGTAGGAACAAAGTGCGATCTGAGATCAGACGTACGTCTGATGCTACAACTTGCCAGATTCGGCCAAGCGCCGATCACCACTATCCAGGGTCACCAGTTAGCGCATAGGCTAAGCGCTGTAAATTACGTGGAGACGTCTGCGTTGACGCAACACGACCTCAAGGAAGCCTTCGACCAGGCGATAGTCAGTGCCCTCAATACGAGGCGCGGCGGTGCTAGTTTACTATACCGGCGTAGGAAGCCGCCCCCGCTGTGGCGTAGATGGTTGTGCTGTTGGGGACGGTCGTCTTCGAGCGAGACCTAAACAAGATCCTACGTGATAGACTATAACTTCTTTAGAATCCCTCTGTGATCATAGGCGGCTGTCGTCCGCCACTGTCAGAATCGCACTCGTATGCATGACGTATTTGATAGCTACGTTCTCTCGTTGACGATTATCCTGACAGGTAGAGAGCAGCTAGTATTTTGTTATTTAGATTTTAGATGAGCGGACAACAAAGTCTTGTTTCAGTTCGCGCGACGATTGCGCGAATGAGCGACTAAAAGCGACGTGTCTTGGTATTGATCGCTCTGGCCAAGTCTTACTGGCCGTTCTGACTTCTACCAATAGATCCGTCGCGCACAATCAAGTTAAAATGACAACTCTTGAGTACGCGGCGCGACGTTCTATCGCAGCCGAATTCACCTTCGCAAGTCACACAGAGCCTTCGATCATTTTACATGTTTCCGCACGTTTTACGCGTACGAAGTATAACAAACTGCCTAATAACGCCCAAGGTTACGACGTTTACAATGTCATGCAGCATCGTGCCAGCACTAATGACTCAGCAGCAGCCTAACTCGCGCAAATCGATGATGATCTGTGTTCGAGGATTACGCGACGCTTTTGCGCGACTTGCGAATATCCCGAAGCTACGTCGGGAGCACGCGGCACGTGATAAATGTTAGACGAATCACGACAGATGACACACGTTCTGACAGACGGAGCGAGCGCCGCCCGTAAAATTCCTGAAGCCGCACCCGGCATAATTTATTATAATATTAATCGTATTAATCATTATTTTTGTTACTAGCATGTAATTGGCTACTCGCTGGTTGTGATTTTTGTACGTAATATCTGTTTTCATTGTCGCGGTAAGATCAGTTCTTTACTGCCTTCCCGCGCCCTCCCCCTCCCCCAGCCCTCTCACCCTTCGAGGATAATTAAGCGGAGCCATCGCGCCCCTCTACGACCACACGTGGCGTATAACAATTGTATATTTTTTACTTGTTGCGACGACGTGCATATATATAAATATATTTATTTTTTAATATCTCTTTGATATATATACATATATGTACATCGGTATTTTAGTAGAAGTAAAAAGTAGCTTTAATCGCCATTCTCGCAAACCTAGTGACATCACACCTATATAAATACATGGACATAATTTATATGCGAATAATATAAGGCTACGGTAACGGAGCAATGATATTTCGTATAACATGTTTTTTATATAAATTTATGTGATGTAGTAGTGTTTGTACGAACGCGATAGCAGTAACAATATAGGAGAAAATATCAAACGCGATAATATTATAACGAAGAGTGTAGAGAGATGCGCGCGAATAGACCCCGACGTTAACTCGACGATCCAGGCGCACTCGAAGTCGGTAGAGAAAAAAAAACTCGCTGTGATCTTACCTGAAACTGTCTTCTGAAGGTTCTCTGTATGTCACATACGGAATTGTGTATGAATAAGACTGCAGATAAAATTCAAAACTGTTCTGCATAATGCGTAAGCTTAACTCGCTGTAACACTTGGTTTCTATCAAGGCGCATCAAAAATAAATTGTATATAAGTATTTATTCATCAAATACGAGAACCGCCTCTCTATCATTTGTGATATATTAAAAGTCCGTAATTAGCGATAATATTTTTATCAATTTAAATTTCCCTACACTTTGTGGAATGTTATAAATCTGTTTGTGATCTCAATTTTCATGTATATTCTTTACTTTTATATTCATAATTTATATTTACCGTCTTATATTTTACTAAAAAAAATATCGTTAAAAAACATGTATATTAAATGTATATTGAACATAATTTGTACGATAATACATTATTATATATCTAATATAAATTCGTTCATTTGAATAGTAGTTTGACTTTCTGTTTTATCAAAAGCAGATATTTCGGGAGAACTACTATTCCACATGTCGGAAATGATAGAGGTTAAATTAGGAAAAGAGAAACTAATAACTCCATGTGCTTTGCGATACCGAATAAACGATGGCGAATCGAGTGCTTGGCAGCACGACAGTGAGTTCGCCTAAGCAACTGTACAAATATTTATTACGCGAGTGCGAAAAGCTGCCGAAACAGACGCAGCAATTTTACAAACATTCCATCAAACAAGTATGTACAAAATATTCTCACCTAACTATTAATAACCTGATTTATTCAACATAACATTGATTTATCCACATTTTCTTTTTCCTTTACCTCTTCTTTCTGGAGTAACTTAATTTCACTTATATTAAATGCAGAGGTTATGGTTTCAAATATCCTTATATGATTGGAAATGAATGCTATGAATTTATAATCTTCATATTTTTCATATGAGATACCTTTACAATATCTTTCATATAAGCTACTTTCATGGATAGCAAATTTTCTATTAGATTTTCAATAATTAAAAATATGATTTTTTCAGAGTTTTAAACAGCATGCTTTGGAGACTGACGAAGAACGTGTGCAACAAATTATGGAGCGTGCACTGTTAGATGCCAAGTGGGTGATACAAAAGGTACTTTTGCTGTGACTTGTGTACTAATATGTTAGATGTTTGGTAATCCTTTTATACTAACTTGTATATTTCTTTTCTATTTAATAGTATAACCAACCAGGCAGTACTCCAACACCTAAATGATAAGTTGACACAAAGTATAATGTACAAGATACATATTAGTATTAGATAGAACAATGAACTTTGTACAGATTGCTAATGAAAGCACTAACATCAGTGCTTTGCAGTTTTGGAAAGCCATTTCCATTTGGATGAGAAATCCTCATGTCATAAACCGCAGGATCTTAATATCCCATGAATTATTAGCAATCGAAGTCAATTGCAACATTTCGAATATTTATGAACATATTACCAAACTACATATACAACTTGGTGATTTTGAGTGTGATTTATCTATGGAAAGCCAAAGGTATCTGTTGGAGAAATTGGATATTGCAGAGTATTGCCAATCACTGGAACGTTTGAATCAAATCGAGACATTAGATGATGATAAAGTTTATTTGTATGTGAAGAAGTTATTACCTCGCAATACGCAATTATTTTCACCGACGTTGGAATTTACGTTAGTCGACAAGAGACTTACCAGCGTCGCTAGCTTTCATAAACGTATTGTTCAAGACAAACAGCCTCTAGGTCCAAATGCAGCCTACACAATACAACACCACGAGTACGGCTCCACGTGTATAAGTATACATAGATTAGAGGACCGAGATGACGACAAAAGCCGCGACTGGCTCAAGTCCAAGTTCTTACCACGTTTGATCAAATGGATGATGAATGAAAACGACAACGTTGGTCCGAAAATTAAATCTCTCAGCCTCGTTTCCGCTGAGAAGTACACTTCGCTATACAATCGATTGAAGGAGAAGTATGGCACCGAAATGGTGAAGGTGTGGCCCGAGAACACAGACCCGGCCAAGTTTGTTTACGAGGACGTCGCGATTGCGACCTACCTGTTGCTGCTGTGGGAGAAGGAGAGATTGGAGTTGGATACGCAGAAGTTGCAATCGTTCGTGGATCTCGGTTGTGGTAATGGACTTCTTGTCTATATACTGTCTAGCGAGGGTCACACAGGAATGGGAATCGACTTGCGCAAAAGGAAGATCTGGGATCTGTTTCCAGAAAGCACTCACCTGCAAGTACGCAAACTTGCCAAATTTTCTATGATTATTATTTACTTCTAAGAACCGACTTTTCAGTGGTAGTTTTAAACTTTATGTTTGAACTGTGCTTAAACTATCAAATTGTTAGAATATAGAGTATAAACTACTATTAAGAACTCTATTCTAAGAGATTCAAGTGTTTATATCAGTCATCCTTAAACAAGCTAAATAAAAGTTTGTATTGTGGCAGATAAGATCAACCTGCAAAATGATTCTTTGTGATAACTTATAACCTTTGTTTCTTTAAGTAAAAAATTAGAAGAAATCAAATTTTGCAAGTAATTTTTCTTATATTCTATATACGTTAGAAACCAAATTATGTAGTTTTATGGGCTTGATATATAGTCCTATAATAAATAATATATATAATATCTTACACTATGCACACAAATTTCATATAATATCTTACACTATGCACACAAATTTCATTGAAAATTTTAAAATAATTGATCTTTGTACTGTACCAGGTCAGCACGATTGTTCCGTCTTCCGACACTGTCTTTCCCGCCGTGGACTGGATTATAGGCAATCACTCAGACGAGCTCACCCCGTGGATTCCCGTGATCGCTTCGCGCAGTTCCTACGAGTGCCGGTTCTTCCTGCTGCCCTGTTGTGCCTATGAGTTTGACGGCAGGAAGTACCGGAGATGCAATACTGCTGAGAGTCAATACTCCGAGTACATGTCCTACGTTAGAAGCGTGTGCGAGGGTTGCGGCTTCCTCACGCAAGTGGACAGGCTGCGAATTCCATCGACAAAGCGGACCTGTTTCGTCGGATGGCGGAGGAGCTATGCGAGAGAGGATAGCGCGGCGCTGGATGCTGACATCAAGAGAATTATAAATGCGCGATCAGCAACGACGACGACGATGTCTCAGGCCGTGACCGAAGTAGCAGAAGACAACGATCTGTGGTCCGCGAGCTTCAAGCCGCGTAGCTCGACGGAACGAACGCGAAATTGCACGCAGCTGGACAAGGAACTGGTTCTGAACATTGTCAACGTGGTTGCGGCGCACCTGTTGCGCACGGAGTGCAGGATACAGTTGGAGCGGAGACCCGGCGAAACGTGGAACGCCGGCCGACAGATCGACATCGGCGAGGTGGCGAAGTTGATAGCACCTGAGATGTTGCAGCAACTGCGAAACGAGTGCGGAGGCCTGCAAACTTTATTAAAAAACCACAGTCACATCTTCTATGTAGCGCAAGGAAAGGTGCAGTTCAGAATTCCGGGTAGTAACGTCGTTGGTAAGAAGAGAAGGAGAAGGAACAGTGACGCGCCTGCGAGAAAAGTGAAACCTTGCTGGTTCTACAAGAATCATCCCGACGGCTGTCCCGCTCTCGAGATCGACTGCGACTTCCAGCATTGAGTTCCTTTGTTGTTCGTTAAGTTCGTTATGTACGTCGGAAAAGATTATAGTCTCAAGTTCATGGCAGTGTATATAACAACGTGTTTTTATTTTAAATAATTGCGAATGTCGTTTGTGTGTCAGCATTAAAGTAAAAAGTATGCGCGTTACTGGCTCGAAACGCACAATCAGCGAATTGTATCGATTTGTGGGTTGACAAATAGAAAATGTAATAACAATAGTGAACTACAAACAGTGTTAAATTACACCTCGAGTACGCGCGCGAAATGATTACCTCAATAGCGTCACGTCGATATACAGATCGTATACACTTCACCTGCGCATTTAATGTACTTGAAGTCTTTCCTCCTTTACAGCGCATTCTGAGCACGATATATGTTACAGCTAGTGCGCGAGCTCTCTCTTTCTCTCGAAAGGAACATTTCTCCGCTACTTTTCTTTTCAATATTTACTTAAAAAAATCTACCACCAGTATGTCGTCTAAGCTCACTAGTTTTGCGTCACCCTGATTATCCTGCAGAAGCGCGCCCAACACCTGCTGGCTGCTCCTCAGCTTCTTGATGTCGAACATAACGAGCTGGTGGACGCGCTTCAAGTGCGTCTGCAGGTTGCACTTCTGTGTGAACGAGTGCTTGCAGTGCGGACACGGATACGGCCGATCGCCCGTGTGGTGCTTCTGATGCAGCTGCAGCGAGAACTTCTGCGCGAAAGACTTGCTGCACAGCTCGCACTTGTACGGTCGCTCGCCCGTGTGTATACGTTTGTGCCGCTCCACCTGACACGGCTTGGTGAACGTTTTGCCGCATACGTCGCACTCCTTCCGTGACTGCGCCGTTTTCGCTGCTTGCAGATTGCTGCTCGTCGCACGACTTGTCTTCACCTTGGACACGCCACTGCCGTTCGCAGCTTGCTCTACTTGCACGGACGCAGAAGCCGCGGGCATATAATCGTTCATCTGAATGACCGCAGCGTTGTTCGTGTCAGAACTCGTCGTCTCCGTCGCGGGCACTTGGACAGAGCTGGTTATCACCATGTGATTGGCGCTGTTCAGATCGCAAGTTTCCGGAAAGGGGCTCGGATTGACTAATTCGATGACGTTGGTGGGCACGACGCCAGCGTTGTCGGAATCGCTCGTCGACTGCGTCAATAACGAGTCATCCGTTTGAATGGTGACAAGACCGTTCGCCAACAGGAACTGCAGATTCGCTACAAACTCGTTGCTCTCGTTCACGGACAGCATCGCGTTGTTGTTGAGTATCGTCGTCGTATCCGTCTGATTGAACGTAATTTGATTCGGTAGTACCGCTGCGCTGGCGTCCAGGTTCACCGACGTGTCCAGTGTAGAATAACCCAGGTGATTCTGCTGCGACACAGCTGCCGCCGTTTCATCGCTGATCACAGTCGTCATCGCCGTCGCCGCAGTCGTCGCCGTTGTCGTCATGCTCGTGTTCAGAGAATTGCCGCTGTCGACGTTCTCCAGGCTGGCCGCCGCCTCTGCCACCGCCGCGACTTTCAAGTGTTTCGGCTTGCGTTTCGCGCCACCTTTGTGTTCACGCACGTGCTTCAGCATGTGCACCTTCTTGTGGCCCGAAGTGCGGAATCGTAGATCGCACATAAGGCACTTGAACGGTTTCGAGCCTGAAACAAAGTCTAAAGTCACGCAAGCTTCTCCTCCGAATTATTCGATATTTAACGCTTCAATTCGTCGTATAATTCGCGGTACAATGCAAAATAATTCCAAGGAATTACCGGTATGCAGCCTCATGTGAACTTTCAAGCTACCCTTCGTAGCGAACATGCTGCTGCAGACGTGACAGCGGAAAGTCTTCTTGCCTGTGTGAACCTTCATGTGCGAGTCCAGCGTGCACTTGACCGCGAAACTCTTGTTGCAGTGGTCGCACTTGAACGGCCGTTCACCTGTATGCGTGCGAATATGCCTGGTGAGATCACTTGGTTTACGGAAAGTCTTCGGGCAGAACTTGCATTTGTTCGTGTACTCTCGTTTTTCTTTCTTCTCAATGTTCTGCTGAAACATCAAATATTGTTACATAAGACAGCTGACTCGCATAAACTAACACAGAAATTCGTATCTACTCACATCCACGCAATCCATTATTTTTCTCTCGGCAACTGTGTCCAGTAGGACCTTCTCAGATACCGACGAGTCCGCGTCTATCCGAACATTGAGCGCCGTTATTGAGGAAAGAGCCGAATTCGAGGAGATCGGTTCTTTCTGAGAACTGTCCGGCTCCATAGACGAAACGTTCCACGTGTCAGCGTGTATCTTACTGTGCAGCTTCAACTGCTGCTTGCTGTCCAAGATCTTATGGCACGTAGTGCATTTCCATATTCTGTAAACAAGATCAGAAAAATAATTTAATATTTAATCAAGCATCACATAGCAGCATCACATAAATCACACATACATACATACACACAAAAGATATTTATTTTCATTTTATAGTCTACTTACTTATTTACGTGTGTCCTCATGTGTCTGCTGAGACCACTATTCGTGCAGAATCGCTGAAGACATACCGAACACTGATACTCCTTCTCGCCGCGATGAGACTTCAGATGTTCCTGTAATGATTACAATTTTATCGTATATTAGATCAGTTATGTGACGATTTTTGTGCAGGAAACGGTTACTACATAATTTGTATCAAGAAACGTGGCAGTAAAATATATCTCGCGTCATAGGTCTGGTTTACATCGTGCACTTGATACGCGTACTAAATAATAACTTTCTATTAGATAATCTTAATATCGACGATATATATAAACAACGGTATATTAAGCTGGTATAATACTCATCGACAAAACGTATTGTATTGATGGAATGCATCGCCGTTGATATGCATTGTCGATATTAAGATTATCTAATAGAAAGTTACTATTTAGTACATATATCAAGTGCACGATGTAAACCAGGCCATATTATATGTTCCAGCAGGATTGCGAGAAAAATATTACCGGATTTGTTACTGTTACTGAATTCTTTGCGAAAAAATATTTGCTCTTTGAAAATAATTGATTGTATCTTTTAAACATTTTCATTATTGCATGAAAACTTTAATGTTAAAACTATACCTTCAACCCCTCGGTTGTGAAACCTTGATTGCCGCACATGTGACATTGCAACAGGTTGGCGCATTCCGATATCCTTGTCCTATCCATGCCAGAAGAAATAAACGAGTCCGGCTGTATTGTATTTTGAAAACTCTTTCTGCAAGTATCAATCACATGCTTAATAATCACTCGATATATAACGCAGAACTGTTAAATATTTGCAGCTTTTGATATATTTTCGCAATTGATATAAATGATAAGACAATGAGTGCCAACGAAAATCTACCGAAAATTGCAAATTTCGACAATATGGCGAAACTGAGGGAACTTACGTGAACGGCAGAGTGCTTCTCTCGCTTTCGCATGACAAAGCGTCATTCTCTTGCGGCGCTTTCTCCTGTCCGTTTACATTATGCATCTCTGATCCATTTGTGGTGTCCGCCTTCGCAATGACTTTGGAGTATCTCGGACATACTTGTGAGAGCTTTACCAATTCTGAGCAATTTTCCTTTGAATTAATGATCATTAGATGAGTGTTTCTTGTGATCAAAGATGCATCCATATCGCTGGCAGTGGTAATTGGTGCAGCTCGTTGCTCCTCTGCTTGCCCGCAATTTTCTCCCACAGATGTTGGCAAAATACTAGACATGCTCGTAGAGTTACTTACACTCAAACCGATATCGATATCGTTGTCCGCCTGAAAAATCAATTGCAAGTTACTTTAGTCTACGATAAGTATAATAAGTCTTCAGCCTTACACTCTAAACCCAAAATTGTGACGTAATTTTCGACTACAAACGTTTTCTACTGCTGCCTGAAGTCATAATCGTTAAGCTCTAAGCAAACCCGCTTTAACAATTGGAACCCAGGTTCCAATTGTTAAAGCAACACGGAAAACGCCTTTTGTCAGAAATTATTAGCCTTAGAGCATAAGGTTTACTATACTTATTATAAATTCTAATTTATGGTTTCAAGATATGAACCAAGCGTCGATAATGCACGTTAACGCGTTCTAAAATTGCATCGCGCATAGAAAACACTCAGAAAACGTCTTTACCTGTAGTGCGATTTGACTCATGTCAAACGAGTCGAATTGCGACGTGAATATCGCGTTGTTAGATGATTCCAGGCCCTTGTTGTGCTCGTATATTATATTAAGTACCGGCTGCTCTCTCGAACTGTCGAGAGAATTCGCGTTCGTCTCCTCCATCTGCCTCGGAAGATTGTTCGTCAGCCCGAGGTTCACGCCGATATTGAACAGTTGTTGGTTCAAAGTCTCCTCGATCTCTCGTATACTTTCCTGCAAGATTCCCCGAACGTCGTTCCTTCATCGCTATTCACATGTCCATGCTTACGTAGATAAAATATATTTTAATAAAATAAATGTTGAAATTACGTACCGGTGTGAGCGTTTGATCCCCTGAATAATGAGGTAACGCGATAGTACCAGTTTCATCGGCGTGCAGAGTTTGCGACGTTCCTAAATTAGTCGTGTCGACGGACATATTTTCTGCAATACGCGATCGTATATAAATATATGGTATATATTTATTTCACACACACACACACACACACACACACACACACACACACACACACACACACACACACACACAAAATATTCAATATAAAATTTACATTAACTTTTCTATATATCATATCACTTGTCTTTTCTCGCTGTAATTTTACACTTATCATATTTTTAAGGAAACGTACGACTTGTGATAGACGACGTTGCGCTGTCCGTCAGCAAGAACGACTTCTCCTTCTCCGCACTAATATTTTGAAACTGATCGGAGAAAGCCTGCGTGAAATCCGGTGCCATTTGCGGTTGAAATGACACTTCCATGTCCTCGGTGAGAGTGATGCTTTCCGGTAATGCTGGAATGGTACTTTTATCCTGGTTCAAGGGCTGCTGTGCGTTCTGTTCTTGCGTCTTCTGTTCATCCAATTGCTACACGTGCCCATAAATTTAAGTATTCTTTATCCATTTACAGTGACGTATCCTAAAGATTATATATGTACTGACCTTTTGCGCCAACTCATGCTTATGTATTTTCATGTGCTTCCGACAATTGACGTATGTCTTGAACGTTTTTTGACAATACGGGCACATGAACGGCCTTTTGTTACTATGCGTAACCAAATGCCTTTTCATGCTGCTCTGGGTGGAGAACTTCGTATTACACACCGAGCAACTGAACGGCCTCAAATCGTCGTGTGTATGCAAGTGAGATTTGAGAACGCTATTAGATGTAAACCTCCTGAAAAGAACAAAATAATAAGGATTCAAGAGGCATAAGTAGATAATATTCATACTGAATAATAAATGTTAATAAATATGGTACTATCTATCCTGTGAGTGTCTTGAATCCTCTTTTTAACACTTTGTATATATAAATAAATAAGAAACACGAACTTGATCAATCTGATTCTAAACGATGGAGATATTGAACGAGATAACGAACGATATCTTACCTGTCGCATTTGGCACATTTATACGGTCGTTCGCCCGTGTGCCTGCGATGATGCTGCTTCAAATGACTGATCTTTCTAAACGCCGCGTGACACACCCAGCACTTGTGCGGCCGCGCCACGCTGTTGCCGTCGTACACTTGTTTTTGCTTCGATTGCACTTGCACTACGCTGATTTTATTGTCGGCGTCGCTGATAACGAGCGGCTCCTGTAGGATCACTTGCGGCACTAGGCTCTCCGCCTCAGGCGATATCTTGGACTTTTCCAGCGCGTGACTCCTCATATGAGTCTTCAGCATGGTGCTGGCGCTGAACGACTTGTCGCATACGTTACACTTGTGTGGTTTTGTATGTAATCTGAAAGAAACGCAAGATTTTACTTCAACTTCACACAAGTTGAAATTTTATTTTCTAATTACATAAAACTAACTGGCTTAACAATTGATTTTGAAACTTTCTGATTTTTCATTTACAACTTTTTAGATTATATTTGTATGATCTTTTCTCACTAGTATAATTTTAAATATTAATACTCCATTGCTCTCATATGAGGCGAACGTTCAGTTGAAATTTTAATTTTTACTATTTTCTGCGTTTCTACCACGACGCCATGTGTGGAAAACATGAAACTCACTTCGTGTGAGCAGTAAGACTACTGTGGCACGCAAACGTTTTGTCGCAGGAGTCGCAGGCGTACTTCTTCACCCCGGTGTGAGTCCTCTCGTGCGCGATCATCGTCGACTTGAGCGCGAAGGAACGCACACAATACATGCACTGAGAAAATAATACTCTTTATTAATGGATGATCAATCATCGCGATCCATAACTTCGGATATTCTTGGAAGTACCTTGAAGGGCTTCTCCTGCGTGTGAACGCGCAGATGGCGTATCAAGTCCGACGGCTTCTTAAATTCTTTCATACAGAAGGAGCACGCGTACCACCGTACGTTCCCTACGCAGTGTTGCTTTATGGTAAGATACTTTCTGTGAACGTAAAAACATAGATGCTTGTTACATTAAATAGATTTCAGAATCGCATTTGTTTCGACTCGCTGAAGTTTTTTACACATCTCCAAAATTGTCCACATGTTTTCCTCGTAACATATTATCTTTCCACACAGAATGATCTTACCTCATAGCACCACCAGCAGCTTTATCCAATAATGTGACATATGTCGTACGGGAATCCATTTTCTTCGGCTCTGTGGTTTCTGCAATCGAAAGCATATTAAATATTTATCTTATCACTCAGAAAGAGTGATAATATTAAAAAAAAGAGCGACATTTAAATGTTACATGATTAATTTACATGATTATCTTTAAATACAACATGTATCTCATACAACGAGCAGCATAATCGCGGAATTACCTTTCGAAGTGACTTCATTTTTGTTCGGCAGACCGCTGTTCTTTAACGCCTGTTGCAGAATATCGTTTTGCCCCACGTTCAGCGTTCCAGTAGCCGTGGAAACCGCGGTGTTATTCACGGCGGATTCCAGAGACGCCAATTGCGATATCACGCTGTCTACCGTCGCACGCATATCAGCTTCGGACGAGATACTGGAATTAGCTTCCGAGGACTTGGCAGTGGATTCCTAAATAAGTACAGCGGTTCTCGGGTTGCATTTACGTTTGAGAGTTCGCAGTGATTTGCATAACAATCATATAATTAGCGTACCTCCGAGGAATTAGAATGCACTCGCTTTATGTGCCCGTTGAGACTGCCGAGTTTCTTGAAGGCGCATGAACAATAAGAACACTCGTACATAGGCTCACCTTCTGGCGGATTATGCACTCGGAGTGTGTGTGCCTTTAGGTTTCCTAGAGAATTGAAAAATGGAAAAATAAGTCTCGGTGCTAACGGAGAAGCCTGAAGTACAAATAAGTACGATTGATAAGACGAGAGAAGAACAACTCTGGATAAATACAGCACGGCAGTACTTTGTACAGGCCTGAATTTTGGTGAACCGAATTCCCGAACCTTTTTGACTAAACTTAGCGTTGCAAAGATTGCAAGTGTGCGGACGAATGCCGTTGTGTTGCCACGCGTGGATCTGCAGCGAACTCTTTTGCGTGAACGCTCTGCTACAAACGGTACACTGCACAAGTAAAAGCGTGGATGAAGCGATCGTCACTCGATGCTACCCTATTCTACCGATATATAGGTCTCTCAAGTACAGAAATTATCGCACCTTGAAAGGCTTCTCTCCGGTGTGTACCCTGATATGACGCATCAGCTGACTCGGCTTTTGAAAGGATTTCAAGCATATAGTACATTTGTACATTGTTTTATGCTTCGTTCCTCTCTTGGTTTGCTTCACTATCTTCGTCTGTTGCTGCGAACAAATAAACGCGATAAGAACACCGCAGGAGCAAGGCATGATCTGTTTATTGGGCAGCACAATAGCATCCTCGTAGAAAAAAAGAAGAAAGTACGAAGAGAGAAATTTTTCTTACGGTCTTATGTAGAGCGAGAAAAACGAGATAAGTGGAATAAAGAGAGAGGTATCGTGCCAGTGTTATTGGTCCGCTTATCAAATGTGCGCCGTTTAATGAGCTCTTTCGACTTACTCTGTAATGTCCGCGGATATGCAGTCGATAGAGCGCCGGTTGCACGAATTGCTTGTTACATAATTTACACTTTCGCACATCCTCGCTCGCCCACTTCTCTCCATGAAGCTTCAAATGCGCGTCCAACTGAGCCTGAAGATACAAACAATTTGAATAGTTACAAATTAATCGAAGACGTTACTATGACAGTCGTTTGTTTGACAGTTGTTCTCTTAAATCCGTAAGTATGGTGAAAGATATAATAACAAATGAAAAAAAATGAATTGCACAATCAGAGCAAAGTGGACCAATTTTTGCTAATGACTTCTAAGTATCCTTGCGACTGTAAGGATTAATGTGGTTAGTGTACCTTGTAATACTGAGCGCTGATTCCAAGAGCTAGATGGAACACACGCGTGCAGATCAGGAGAAGCGCGTAATTCAGGCAGTCTACGGTGAACGACATATCGGAAGACAGCGCTGTGACTTGAATTATGTCGTGCAACATAAAGTAATGCGCGCCGGCGGGCAGTGTGTACTTATATGGCAGTGCTTGGAGCAAAAAGTAGGACGAACACGGGCATCGAACACAGTACGCGCCACCGAAAATATCGTGACTATTTGATCACTCGTATCTAAAATGCGCGTTCCTCGAAACTTGCAGGCGATAACGAGCGAATGAACACAGCGAGTCCAGCGCGAAATTTGATCACTTCTATCGTGTTCCGATAGTAGATCAGTGTTTCGCGAATGGATTTTGTCGGGCGACAATTCGAAGAATTTCGAAGACCGCCCTTGGAGTTTTCAGTCATCTCTTAGCGACAAGAAACACCGAGAGAACAAGAAACGGGACTAATTTGAGATCAGACGAGTACGATAAATTTCCGCGAGGAAGCTTCTACTCGTCCTTGCAGCTACTCGATCAATTAGCGTGCGCTAACAAGCTAAACGTGGCGCTTTATTAAACGGTCGCGGTCGTATCCACGTGCTTGCAACGCGTACGAAGGCGGACAACTGCAAAAACTCGAGTTTCACTCTCCCTTTCTCCTACCCCCTCTTTCTCATTGTCCTGTTCTTTTTTTTCTCTATCTTTCTTTCCTATTTTTTCTCTCTCTTCTCCCTCGAAAAATTTCGCTTCGAGGCATACAGCAGAAATATCTAATTATTAATTGTCTCTTTTGTTTTTTTTATCACGCTCTCTCCCTGCGCCTATATTCTCTGTCTTCCTTTACAAGATTTCATGTTCCAATGCATATGTGATGAAATTTTCATTCTCGCCCCTTCCCTCTTTCTCTCTTTTCGTTTCACTCTCCCTCTCTCTCGTTCCGCTCGCAGCATCCAGAGCAGGTACCGGCCACTTCGAGACGAATCCCGTGTGATTGCCGTTCCCTCTTAATTCCCGCGCGACGCCGCCACCGCGACTGGTATCGCGCGTCCGAAAGAGGACATTGCACTTTTTCCGGCACGCAGGCCGCTCGTGGTCCAGCAACAGCGGCAGCTTCCTCCCCGCACGCCGATTGATCTTTCCAAAGCTGCCTCTCGCTCTTCCTCGCGGCTCCTTCTACTCCTCTCTCTTCCGCCTACGAGCCGTATTCTTCCTCTTCCGTTTGACCTCCCTGCGCGACCTCCCGTCTCCTCGTCTCTTCCTCCTCCTCTTCCTCCTTTTTCTTCTTCTTCCTGTTCCTCCACGTGCGTTTCTCTTTTTCGAGATCCGTTTTCCTTTTCTCGTGTTTCCTCCGCGACAATGAGATTTCGCTTCACCAACGAGCAATCCACCGCTCGCATCTCGGATACTTCAAATGTCTGCAACAGCGAATGTCGCGAGTTGAGCCGCGAACATCGCTTCCTCTGGCGATCTGTACAAGTAAATTCGGGACGGCATAACTCAAAACAGTTCATGAAGTTTTATGACCGGTGAGAATCTCGAGAATGATTTTGGAATGACCGAGATCTCGAGAAAAATTCCGTCAGTCAACGAAGCACAATGATCTCGCCACAATGATCACACTTTACATATTTGCGATACGAGATGTAAATACAACAATTGAACAATCGTTGATCTCATGAGTCTCTCGATATTGTGTTGGGGATTAACGGCAATATTGTTCTCTCCTTCGACCCTAGATTTGATCTTATACGCCGGCAGCATATAAACGACTGTGCAAGCCGTAGATCAGATCAGCATATATTTACTTCTTTACGGCGAGCTGTAGCGGACTACGGCGAGCGGAGCATCTAATCACGTCGGACGTAGCGATTCAGGAAACGACCTCCGATACACCGCCCACCCTCGGGGACAACACGAGCGCATCCTTGCCGGATCGCCAGTCATTCGAAGCGACGTTCTCCTGCTTGTCACTATTCGCCGCCAACGTTTTCGGAGGCTTCCTTGTATAAGGAAGAAATTGGCACCACTATGAGTTGACTGATTTAGAGGCCAGGATCAACTCGGCGAGAAGCTTCAATGAAGCTGTCCGCGAGAACACATTACGGCGTCGGGAGGGCCTCGCTGAGCGGAAGAATCGCGCGGACGGAGGAGGCAATACCGTGGAGGTTGAAATTCGTCGGATACTCTTGGCAACGAGGCCGACCAGGAGCGCGAGTCATTGTGGCAGCAGTACGCGAACAATTGGCGGCGTGTCAGATGTCAAGCGGCGGACTCGCGCCGGTCATGCAAACGCGAGCAACGCGAACGGCTCGAGAACGGCCAGGCGAGAGGAACGGCGGTCTGTTCTCTTCTCACGGAACGTGCTTCCCAAAATACAACCTCATGGAGAGAGGTCATCGATTTCCCCGTATCAAATCGCCGCCGTTCTCGCCGCGGACCTCGCGCCGAACACGTCTCTCGCTCGCGGAACTCGCGCTGCTCTTTCTGCTCCTTGTCCGTCGTCGTGGTTGCGCCGTGGTTCGATTATTATTGCTACATACGTAAACACGCACCCCTCGCCTAAAGATCGTTTTTCAAGCCGAGCGTCTCTACTTCACGGAAAAAGAAGGATGGTATTCCCTACGTATTAGGAGCCGGCGTAACGCAGCATCCGTCAAATGATGTCTCTCGCATTTCGACGCGAATCGCTCGAATATATCTTCACGGATGAGAGCGAATCTCCCGTCGAAGAGTGAAGAATCAAACGATTTTCAGGGTTAACGCTATTAATAATAGTCTAGTTATCGGGCCGACCGCATCCTCGCTCTTCCCGGTAAAGTTCAACGGTTCGGCTTTATCAACGGCGTAACGGCACATTATCGGCACATTTCTTTCGCCCCATGTTCCTTTCTTCCTGTCGTTTCTTCTGCCTTCCTTCGTTCACTCCGCGTCTTCTCTCTCTCTCTTTCTCTCACTCCTCCTCTCTCTCTCTCTTTCTCTCACTCCTCCTCTCTCTCTCTCTCTCTCTCTCTCTCTCTCTCTCTCTCTCTCTCTCTCTC